TTTTTTGTTTTCTTTCAGTCTCTCGACAAGTAGTCAGGCTAGAGCAGTGTGTCGAGCTTTACTGTGTTTAAGTGTTACCTTTGTTGTGCCGAATATAGTGGATATATGGAGAGATAGTTACTTGTTTGAGCGGCGCACGATCTTAAATGTGTCAGGCCCTGTGCTAGGAGATAACTGTTACCGTGCCCTACCTCCTCTGTAAGTGTCACACAAGGTGAACCCCTGTGTCAGCTTACACGCATTATTTCTTTTTTTTTTTTTTTGTTTTTTTTTTTTGTTTGTTGAAGAGTCGGGTTGCGTCTGGTTGCCCAGCTGGGGGTGCAGTAGCCGAGATCTCAGCCTCATTGCAAGCTCTGGCGTGTGGGTTGTGAGCGTGTGTGCGGTTCCTGCGCTGAGTGCTGGGAGTACAGGCCGCCCGCCCGCCACCGGTCGCCAGCCGTAGTTTTTGTGTGTTTAGTTAGAGAGGGGTTTCACCGTGTTAGCCAGGATGGATGGTCTCGATCTCCTGACCTCGTGATCCACCCGTCTCGGCCTCCCAAAGTGCTGGGATTACAGGCTTGAGCCACCGCGCCCGGCCTACATATTATTTTCATATTACCGATGAAAGGACAGAAGCTTAGAGTAGTGTAAAAACTTTCCTGGTGTCATATGGCTACTAATAGGAGGATGTGAGATTTCATTCTGGGACTATTTGACCTCAAGGCTAAGGATGACAGTAGTAACAGAGCAGCTGACGTTGGTTCGTCTGTGTGGCATCTTGTTTCATTGACTGCAATAAACCTTTAAAAGAATCGTATGAAGCAAGCTCTCTCATGCTTCAGGATATGAAAGAAGAACAAACTAAACCCAAGCACAGTGAATGAAGTAAACAATATGGATTAGAGTGGATAAAAATAAAATGGAGAATGAAAAAAGAATGCAGTAAATTAATGAAACTAAAGTTGAGTCTTCAAAATAAATCAACAAAATTGACGACCATTAACTGGACTAAGAAAAAAAGAGAGAAGATTCAAATTACTAAAATCAGAAATGGAAATGGAGTCCGAGCATGGTGGGTCATATTTTAATCCTAGCACTTTGGAAGGTCACAATGGGAGGATTTCTTGAGACCAGGTGTTTGGACCAGCATAGGTAACCTCAGGAGACCCTGTCTCTACAAAAAAAATTTAAAACCAATTAGCTGGGCATGGTGGCATGCATCTGTAGTCCTAGTATCCTGAAGAAGGAGAATTTCTTCAGCCCAGGAGTTTGAGACTGCAGTGACGCACATTCACACTACTGTATTTCAGCCTGGGCTGGCCTACAGAGTGAGTGGCTCTCTCTCTTTCTCTAAAGAAAAAAATAAGAAAAGTAAAAATGAAAAAACAGAAAATGAAATGATTACTACCAATTCTAATAAAATAATGATTGTGAAATTACTGTAAGTAATTGTATGCCAATAAATTGTATAAACTAGATGGAATACACAAATTCCTAGAAAAACACAAAAAATATGACTACAACTATAATCAGTAATAAGATTGAATCAATAAAAGCATTTGATGAAATTCAATATTTTTTCATAATAAAAACATTCTAACTAAGAATGTAAGGAAACCACCTCAACATAAAGGCAATATGTGAAAAACCCAATGCTAACATCATACTCAACGGAGAAAGACTGAAAGCTTTCCCTGTTTGAGCAGGAACAAGACAAGGTTGCGGCTTTGGACACTTCTATTCAATGTAGTATTGAAAGGTCTAGTCAGAAAAATTAGGCAAGAATTTTTAAAAAGACATTCAAATTGGAAGAAAGAAGTAAAATTATTTCTGTTCACAGAAAACTTGAACTTATATCTAGAAAATCCTAAAGATGGACAAACCTATTAGAATTGATAAATGAATTCAGTAATGTTCCACCATACAAAATCAACATTCAAACATCAGTCGTATTTCAATACACTAACCATGGACCATCTGAAGGGAAATTAAGACAAAAATTTTAATTTGTATTAATATCAAAAAGAATAAAATACTTAGGAATAAGTTTAACCAAAGAGGTGAAATGATTATACCTGAAATCCATAAAATATTGCTTAATGATGACATCAATAAAATGAAAGACATTTTGTTTTCATGAATTAGAAGACTCACTATTGTCAGGAGGACAATGAAACCCAAAGTGAGCTGCAGATTCAATATAATTCCTCTCAGAATCTCAGTGACATTTTTGCAGTAAAAGAAAAATCCGTCCTAAAATTTATATTGAAACTCATGACCCTAAATAGACAAACAACTTTGAAAAGGAAGAATGAAGCTGGAGGACTCACACTTTCTGATCTCAGCATTTACTACAAAGCCCCCGTAACCAATACAGTGTGGTACTGGCATAAAAGAGGACATAGAAATTAATGAAATGGAACAGAGACTGCAGAAAGAAATACTTCCATATATGGCCAAATGATTTTCATCGAGTGTGCCAAGATCATTCAATGGGGAAAGGATAGTGTTCTCACCAAAAGATATTGGAAAAGCTGGATATCCAAGGGCAAGAATGAGTGGAACCTTTACCTAGCATCATATACAAAAATTAACCCACAATAGATCAGATATCTAAATGTAAGAGCAAAAGCTATACAACTCTTAGAAGAAAACATAGGATAAAAACTTCATGATATTGCATTTCACAATGATTTCTTGCTTGTAACAACAAAAGCATAGGCAACAAATAAAATGGATAAATTGGACTTCATAAAAATCAAAACGTTTTCTATATCAAAGAACATTATCAAGAGAGTAAGAAGGCAACCCATGAAATGAGAAAAATATTTGCAAATTATAAGTGTGATAAGAAATTAATTTCCAGAATACACAAAAAACTACAAGTTAACAACAGCAAACATCCAAAAACACAATTACAAAATGAACCAAGGATTAAAATAGAGTTTTCTCCCAGGAAGATATACAAATATCTAATAAGCCCAAGCAAAGCTCCTCAGCATCACGAATACTTAGAGACATGCAAATCAAAACCACAATGTGACACCACCTCACACACTTTAGGATGGCTTTGATAAACAACAACAATGACAGAAACACAAAACGACAAGTATTTTCATATAGACGGAAAAGTTGGAGCTCTAGTGCATAGCTGATGGGAATGGGAAATTTTATAGCCACTGTAAAAAGTGGTGTGGCTGTTTCTCAAAAATTTAAACAATAAATTACCATTCGATCCAGCAATTCCACTTCTGGACATACTCCCTATAGAATTGAAAGAAATGTGAACAAATATTTGCACATTGATGTTCAGAGAAGCATTACACACAATAGCCAAAAATGGAAACAATGGAAAAATCCATTGAAAGATAAGTGGGTAGGGAAATGAGAAATATCTATACATCGAAATGTTATTCAAACTTAACAAGGAATAAAATTCCAATACATCGTGCAAAGTGGATGAACGTTGAAGACATTATGCTAACTGAAATAAGCCAGACATGAAGGGATAATTATTCTATACTTCCATTTATAAAATAGACTAGCCAGTTATATAGAGACAGAAAGTAGAATGGTATGTGCTAAGGGTTAGCGGGAGAAGGAGTGAGAGTTACTGTTTATTGGGTACAGAGGTTTAACATGGTAAAAGGAAAAAGTTCTGGAAATGGATAGTGTGATGTTCACACAACACTAAATTGCACACTTTGAAATAGTTAATCATAAGCCTTATATTGGATATATATAAAGTGTCCTGGTAGTCTTACACTCTATAAATACACACTTTTTGGCATAGCCCCTTTCCTGACATGCAGAACCCCAGAGGTGAATCTCCCTATTTCTCCAAGTGTGCATCACTCACTGTCCTCTGTGCTGTGTCCCATGTGCTGTGCCAACAGCCTCATACAGCCGGTGACTTCAGAGCCAGGACACAGCTCAAGAGTCTGCCCCGAGGCTCCCTCTCTTTTAATTTTCCTGTAGCCTAGCCTTCACACCAACTGGCAGTTCGATTTAGCCGAATTCAGGACAGGCCACCAGAGGTCTTTCTCCACACATGCTGGTCCAACACCAGGTGGAGTCAGGCAGGGCCAGTCACCAGAGAAGCCCGGAGCAGATTAGGGAGTGGTCTGAGCTGTCCCTTTCTCATCCAAGGGCTTTCCTACTCTCATTTGGGGGAAAAATGTGAGCTTGTTTCAAAGCCTCGGATGCTCCTTGTAGCTCATGCAGTAGGGAAAAAAAATAAAGACGTGGCAGAAAGGGATGTGTTGGTGACAGCGAGAAGCAACTTGACCTTGAGGACTCTCCTTCTTGTCCCTCTGTGAAGCCTCTTCCGCCACATAGGGCTGAGGACTGACAAAGCCCCCTCCCTACCTTTCTCAGGCTGGACACAAAGTCAGCCATGAGAAAACAGAAAAACAAGAAGAGAGTCCGTGGAGACAAATTGGGAGGGTTCAGGAGGAGAATTTAGGATTTGCTTCTGCCAATGGGACACAGGCTGGGAATTAAAATGTTTCCCTGGGTCTTCTCTGAAAGGCAGATAGACACCATCTAAAACCCTATTGCCAGTGATGCAGGGATCCACTTACCAGAGACTTTGATCGTCTTGAATGCGGAACTTGAGCTGCCAGTGGCTGAGTTACGAGCCGAGCAACCATAGATTCCGCTATGCTGTGCAGTAATTTCGCGGATAGAGAGCTCTTGTCCTGATTGCAGAAACTTCCCATCAATCGTCCAAGAATACTCTGCCGGTGGGTTAGAGTCCGCGAAGCAGTACAAGTAGAGTTTTTCTCCTGAACGGTAATAGGGGGATGAAGAGAAAATGCTGGGGATGCGTGGACCATCTGGAGTAAAGAGAATAAAGTCACAGGTGATGTCATCTGAAGGAAGGGGATGTTCCTGGTCTCTTAAAGGGACATAGTGTCCCTATGAGCCAAGACACACCCTCAAGGCCCAGCCAAACCGCTCCTGTGTTCACTGGGCCAAAGCCTGGGATATTCTCCTGTTTCTCCCATCACAGGCTGTAGACTCCAAGTCTCCCATGACAAGAGCATCTCCTCCCCTTATATTTTTGTAGAATTTCCCAGGGCAGGGAGCCATGGCCAACCCTGGTGTCCAGAAATAAAAGTGTCTGTACTTGGACCTGAGAGAGACTGAGATGCCTGGCCTGTGTTCCTTTGGATTTTAGCGGGTGGCCTGGTCCACACAGGAACCAAAGATACAAAGGACATCCAGCGTGACTGGGTCACTGGGGTTGCTACCAACTTGGTCCCATATTTCACATTCATAGGGGCCTGTGTCATTTCTTGTGACATTGGCTAGAATGAGGATCCTGTTTTCACCGGGTTGCTTTAGCCTGGGACTGTGTGGATAACAGAGAGAAGATTGTCCTGTGGCACCTTTGATTCCTCCACAGGCATCGTTCAATCAGAGTTGGGATCTCCCTCCCCTCAGCCCACCCGAGTCCTTGAAAACCAATAGCTGGAGTGTGTGTCACAAGACAGATGCATGATGATCTAAGGGCTCAAAGACTGTGAGGCCACCTGCTCTGTCTTAGGGAAGCACAGACATTCTCAAGTGTGAATTGAGCAGCAGTGTTGGGTCATGGACAGACACATCAGTGGGAGTCACAGTCCCTGATACACCTCCCAGTCCCTCTCTAATCAGCTGACTGGCTGGCTCACCTTGGGTTCCTTACCTCCAATATGCAGCTGCTGGGCTCCTTACAAATTCCATCCTACTTTGCCCCCCTAGATGTGATTTCTCTGCATCCTTCATTTCCAAGGACATCCTAGAGATGAGTAATAATGGGACTTCCCATTGTCCTGAAACCCTGAAGATACTGAGCAGCCTGGCCTGGGACTGGATGTTTCAGCAGAAAGAAGACAGGGGAGACCAGAGTCAAGCCTGGAGGTCAGTTCAGTCATCTGGCCGTGGAGGCACAAAGTGGGGTAGTTTTCTGCAGGTGTTTCATGATGACTTACTTGAGCCAGTGACCTCCAAAGATAGAGCAGAGTGCAAGGAATGATGTAGAAAGAGTGAAGGGGACAGACAAGAGCTGGTGGCTTTGGAGCAGAACCATGTTCCCTCTTCTGGGTTCTTTAAGTTTCCTCTCCTTCTGCAGAGGGCAGGTGAGGACTAAATGGATCTTTCCAGAAATACATGTGGACATTTGCAAATGCAGAACGGACTGGAGGAAAGGGTGGGAATGAACTGCTGGAAATCTGGTCCTCGTGGACCATACGTGTTTGATGGATATGAGACAAATTTGGGGAGAAATTTTGCAAATATTTTCTTTCATTGGACACGCTACTCTCCGATTCCATGGGTTTGACTACTCTAGGGACATCATGTTAGTGGATTCCACAGTGAATCTGAGAAGAGACTGCTGGTAGCCGGGAGGTTGGAGTGGGGAGAATCAGAAGTTGTTCATGTGTGTGCAGTTTCAGTTATGCCAGATGGGGAGGTTCTAGAGATCTGCTGTACAGCTTGATGCCTATAGTTCACACAGATTGGGTGTTTCTTACGCATCAGACTCAGGACAGAAAGTGTTTTGGATTTCTGACATTTTTTGATTCGAAATATTTGTCACATACTTACTGGTTTAGCATTCCAAATCTGAAAGATTCAAAATCTAAAATGCTCCAGTGAACATTTCTTTTCAGCATCAGATTAGTCAGCAAAAGTGGGTGGTGATAGGCTAAATACATTCTTGCCCTTTTTTTCTTCTCACCACTTTTCTAGCTTGGTGATTAGTTTTTGGTCAAATCCATACTGGCCATGCTGCACTTGTATGTTTTTCAAGGCTTTGGGATGTGAGAAATAATGATTGCTATTTTCTATGTCGTCAACACTTTCCACCTTTCCATGTTTGCATCTTTTTCTCAGTGTCTCTGTTGTGGCAGTCATCAATAAGAGCCTATCAGGTCAGATTTAGGACAGATTTTCGTAATTCTGCAAAAAAATGTTACTGGGATTCTGGTAGGGGTTGCGTTGAATCTGTAGCTCACTTTGGGTAGTATTGTCATCCTAACAATATTGATTTTTCCAATCCATGAAAATGAAATCTCTTCCCACATACTGATGTCGTCTTTAATTTCATTCAGTAACGTTTTGTAGTTTTCAGGGTATAACCCTTAGACCTTTTTGGTTAAAATTATTCCAAAATATTTTATTCCTTTTGATGTTAATGAGAATGGAAATTCTTTTCTGAATTTCCTTTCACATTGTTGATTGTTACTGTATAGTCTAAAGAATGATCTAGAAAGAGTGAAGGGCACAGGCA